TTGATGACATCCAGGGATGGGGCACGGAATGTTTGGAATGCATGAAGTCATACTACCAAGAGAAAAGGACTAGATATGAGCTCAAGCTGCCCATTCAACAGCCGCACTCCTGTTTAGCAGCACTTGGTCTTAGCTTTCAGTTAAGGGGTGGGATCCAGTCTCAGCTCTGAATCCAGTGTTCATGTTTGCAGAGCATGTGCAGGACCAGGGCTCAGCGAGATCTGGCTAATCGGGGTGCTCAGAAACCTAGTGCGAAGGCAGTGTGTCACAGGGTTGTCAGAGGCTAAGTGGGGAAGGTTCAACAGGCTCCTCTAGAGATTTGGCTAAGAGAGGATGCTCACACTGATCTGGGACATAATTAGGGGCGCTCTGCACAGAGCAGGGGAGCTGCAGAACTACTGAGGAAGAGGCAAGCTAGTAAGAAGTGAGTGATCTGGGCAACCCTGGGACTTGTCCACCTTTCCAAACCTTTATGTGTTTAACCAAGCTTTCTGACGTTTGTCCTGACTCCACAGATCAGCTTCTCTGAACATGGGCGTTGGTCTGGAGGGGAGAGTGGGAGAAAAACCATTCTTTATTCCTGAGATGTACAGGCAGATATTTTGTAGTCACGTTGTGCCTGGGGCAGGGGTTTGGAGAGCTGGTTGATCTTTTAGTATTTCCTAATCAGAAGCAGGTCAGCAGAGGTATTCAGACACAGGCGTGCCAAGTAGAGCTTCGAAGGGACTGACCCTGGGCCTGAAGTGATTCCTCCGGCAGTTTGTTTAGTTGTGCTGCGGGTTCAAGCACAATTCTGTCTTTCAGGGCTGTTCCCAGCTGCACTTACAGGGATCAGAGGTGCGGCTGTGGCCCGCAGGTGGCCCTTCCCCTGGAGCAGCCACAAGTGTTCCTGATGAAGGAAACAAATGCTGACATCCTAAGATGTAGCATGTTTTTAGACAGGAGGCATGGGCATGTACGTGTGTGTGGCTGTCAGCTTGAGGGCAGCTCTGGAAGCCTGATCATTTTTGTAGCCTTTTGTAGGCAAATAGCAGAGTTAATTGCTATCTTTGGCACATGCATCGGCAGCATTTAGCTGAGCCCTGAGCTCTCTGCTATAGGCTTAGCTTTTTCTTTCCTACGCTGAATATGTTGGCACCCAGCATGCCTAACATTTTAATGACCTATCTTCACACTGCTGGCAGTCACTGCATGTGTAAGGTCCTACTCTTTCACCCCTTTCTCCTCGCCCCAGTGACATGATACTGCTTCTTTTTCCTTCCTACTGTTTGCTGTCCCTTCAGCAATGACTTTAGCTTTAGGTCTTTGCCTGTCTTCCCCCCTGATGGACTAAAACTCCGCACTGGTGTCTTGTCCTGATAGCTTCTGCCAGCATTTCTGCTTCCTGCTTGGCTTCCCTTTGGCTCTCTCCTCGCTGTGTCTTAAGAGGGCCTAGGTATACAGAGTCTTTTCAGTCTGACTGCTTGCCTTCCACCAACCAAGAGTGTTAGAGAGACCTTCCAAATTTGCTTAACCCGAGTGTGTGGTGGATAAGGTGCTACCCTTCAGTAGGAGCAGTATATTCTTTCGAAGAATGTTGTCTCCAGGACAGGAAATAGCATATTTTTCAAGGCTTTTTGTTTGTACTTAATGACAGGCAATATTTCTTTACGCAGGTATGTACCTATTGGCATTATGTTCCTTGTTGGGAGCAAGATTGTGGAAATGGAAGATATTGTGCTTCTGGTGACCAGTCTGGGAAAATACATCTTCGCCTCTATTCTGGGCCACTTCATCCATGGAGGAATCATTCTACCACTTATTTATTTTGCATGCACACGTCAAAATCCGTATCGTTTTCTCTTAGGACTTATCACACCACTTGCCACTGCTTTTGCCACTTGCTCCAGGTGGGTTTCTGTGCTTGTTTGGGAATTATAACCTGGTTACGTTTGTCACTGTAAACTGGTTATATCCCAACACCAAACTGTGTTGAGTTTTAGGTGTGAATATTGTTCCTGAGATTGCAAAAAAAGAGTTGAGAGTCTCACTGCTGCCAGGAGCCTGCCACGCAGCACCTACTGATAATTAGCTGTTGAAAACAATTCCTCAAAATATTGGGACTGCAGCATGATGCTGAGTTGGATTTTTTTTGGGGAAAAGGTGAAAGTATTTGCCTTAAAACGATCATGCCAACTGTCCTTTCAATTTTAAGTCAAGTGAGGGTCAATAGTGAGGGACCTTGTCTTGAGAAGTTTAGTTCTCCAAGTTCAGAGGGCTTTGGAACAAGTTTAGACTAATTTTGCAGAAGCAAAGCAGACTGATTAGCTGGTGCAAAGGGACTTAATGTTACTGATTTCAAAGATCTGGCCTGATCAGCTTTTATTTGTCATCACCAAGCTATCAAGCATGTAATTTACACTTCTCTGAAGGGGCAAAGACCCGATCAAATATCATAACTATATAAAATCATTTCAGGTCATCTGCAAAAGCAGATGCATGTCTGTCACAGGAGCTGAAGTACACGAAGCAGAAGATTTATGAATAGACCTGTGTAGTTTATAATGCAAGAAATAAATTGAACAGTGATTTTTTTTTTTAATTTTATCTTTATTATTATTTGTCTGTTCTTTTGAGAAGGTACTATTGAAATGTTAACAGAGGTTGCTGTTGCATGTTGTGTTTATATTGGCGTCTATTGGTGTATTTTTCTGGTTTGAGACTTGATCATTCCACAGCACTGTTAGGCTGCATGCTGTGTTAAATCATGAGTTCTTGCTTCTGGGAGACTCGTTATCAGTTATATCTGCATAGAAGCAGATGATTAAATACACAAGACGAACAAGAAGGGTCCCTCATTGCTATTGTAGAATCACAGACTGGTTTGGGTTGGAAGGGACCTTAAAGACCATCCAGTTCCAACCCCCCTGCCATGGGCAGGGACACCTTCCACTAGATCAGGTTGCTCAAAGCCTCATCCAGTCTGGCCTTGGACACTTCCAGGGATGGGGCATCCACAGCTTCTCTGGGCAACCTATCATGACAGAGATGGACTGTAAAACGTCACCGTTGTCTTGACAAGCATGTCTGCAGCATGTTAGAAACGTGAAAACCATGAGACATTGACTTTCTACTCAGTGCACACTGATGTTTGATGTTTGATTTTCCCCTACTCTCTGTTTCTAGCTCAGCCACTCTCCCCTCGATGATCAAGTGTATTGAGGAGAACAATGGAGTTGACAAGAGGATCAGCAGGTTTATCCTTCCTATTGGGGCAACTGTAAACATGGATGGAGCTGCAATTTTTCAGTGCATGGCAGCTGTGTTTATTGCTCAGCTGAACAATGTTGACCTCAACCCTGGGCAAATCTTCACTATTCTGTAAGTCGCTTGCTATTGCAACCACATCCTTCTGGCCCCCAGACATAATTCAAGCCTGTGGTCTCTCTGTTAATACCTAGCAGTTTGCATTCCACATCTCTGACCTAAAGCTTGCAAATTGCTATGAAACATAATTATAGGGTGATTAAAGGATGGAGTCTTTCAAACTTTTATAAGATTTGCCAGGATCTCGATTTAATAAAAGGTGGAACCTGGAAGGGGTAATTGAATTCTGAAACAGACTTTGAGCTGTTCAAAGCTGTTTCCCACACGAAATTCCTCTCCTTCCTTAAGCATCTTGCTCCCCCACCCTCCACTCTCCATTAAGCTGGGTTATTGAGGCATGCTGCTCTACCCAGACAGCTACACCTGATTCCCTCTCTGGATCTCTTGGAAAATCCTCCCGCCAGCTCTTCAGTTACTTACGTGTCAATCTCATACTAAAGACTCTGCTCCTGCTTATCTCTGCCCTCCCTACCATCGCTTTGCAGGCTTCCCAGGTCAGACCCATTTTTATTTCCCGCCTGACTGCTTTGCTCCATTATCCCCTCCACCACATTAGTCCTGTCTCCTTCTCTAGGACTCTCTCTCCTTTGTGCCTGGAATATCCTCCCATGTCTCATATCCCATAAAGTGTCATTCTTTTCATTTCCCTCCTCAAAATCCTTTAAGTGAGGATCCTATAAGAGGTTCTAGCCCCTCACTGTGCCAAAAAGCCATAGCTATATCCACCAGATGCCTCCTGGCAATTTTTTTTCCCCTCCCTGGCCAAGTTTTATTTCCTTCCTTACTGCATTTCCCAATATGCTGTTTGTCTGTTTAAGGCAGGGCTGGGGCACTTTCTTCCTTGCAGAAGGCTAAATTAGTCTTTCAGGATCTCTTTAGTGAATCGGGTGTTAAGCAGGCCTGAGGATTATGCAGTGATAGCCCAAGGAAAAAGCAGTTGTGGACATCTGCACACGGAAAGGCTTGCGGTCCGTGTCTATAGCCTATGCACGGCATGTTTCCAGCTCCTAATTTAGGGTCCGTGTGTGAATGCAAACGAGACACAGAGAAGGATCAGTACCCTGCATGGTAAGGTTTGCCTTTATACATCTGGGGCTGAGCGATGTACTCAGCCTATTTGAACTGATACATGGCTTTGAAATGGGTATATTAGTAAGGCAGCAGGATATATTTGTGTTGGCTGGGGATTTTTTGTCTGAAAAGGCAATCATGGTGTTAAACACAGAGCCACTGCCTTGGTACCTGCTGTGGATTAGTGCTCTGTACCCGTTACTCTGCATCAGCAGACAGGAAAGGGTTTGCCTGGGAAGCAAATGATCTGTGTGTCCCATGCTTGTATGTAGAGTTTGTTTACAATTCCCACAGCGGGGAAATGTGGGAGCTAAGTGTAGAAGGGGAGTGCTGCAGAGCTCCTGCTAACTGGGTACGCACATCGATTTGCAGCGTGACAGCTACTGCATCCAGCGTGGGTGCGGCTGGGGTGCCAGCCGGAGGAGTCCTCACCATCGCTATCATCTTGGAGGCCATCGGACTTCCGACCAACGATCTCTCCTTGATATTAGCGGTGGACTGGATTGTGTAAGTACTGAGGCCATGCATGTCCTGCTGTTGCATGACATGTAGCTGGAAACGTGGGGCAGGGTAGTCAAAGTTGCACAGTATACAATAAAGCCCTACAAGATACGGCGTCCCATAGGACAGATGACTCTTGGCAGATGATGGAAAAGGTGGTCCCTTCTCAATTCAAGCAGTGAGTGTGCTAAAATCCCTCTTCAATATTTTTAGTCAGCCTTTATTAAAATGTATTTCTTCCTGGTTTCAATTCCCTTTAGAAGGATTGTTAAAAGTTTATTCAGAAGGTGTTGATATTGCTGGAAGTCAGTTGGCCAGTAGGAGGGAAGGGGGGAAGAAGGAAAATGAGCCTGAATAGTGGTGGAAGTCCTCCTTGGTCACATGTGGGAAGCATTCAGAAGCTGTTACCAGCTAGTGTTTGAACTATGTCTGTAGTCCAAGACTGGTCCGAGCACCAACACAAGTGTCACAGAGAGATGCCATGCATTGGCAGGCGGGGACACAGGGGGTTTGTGACACTCATCACAGCTGCGGGCGGTGTCACGGCTGGAACACGCTGCTGGAGTCACAAATTTAGTACACAGTATTATCACCTTTCCTTTGTGTCTTCTGGGAAAGAGAGAAGTCAGACCTTTTCTCACCTCCTTCTCTTCTTTCCGAGAGCCATTCCCCTCCTTGAAACGTGAAAGATTATCTACTTGCCCAGCTCTTACCCCACTTCTCAGCGTGGTTATGTCCTTGTTAAGGCCTAAATTTACTTTCTGTACCACCTAAATTAGATTAAGGAAAGCCTAGAAAATTTGGTTTGCTTTAAGTATTGGGGACCCACCCACAAGTGCATGATAAGTGCAAATGCCACGCACAGGTGATTTCTTACAGCTTAGAGGAGCCCCATGGAAAAGGGTGTCAGCTTTTCCTTGAACAAGCTTGGCTGGCTGCTCTTTTTCAAACACTAGATCAAACTGAAAGGACTTCTCCAAGCACTCCTGAATTACAGCATGCTTAGGGTTTAAATGCTAGTGAAGTCAGCGTGATCTGATAATTTAAAAGCATAATATGCTCTCAAGCCATTGGTTGAAGTTGGGTGGTGGGCTGAAATGGCTGGTCAGTATGGGTCAAGCAATCTGAATCCCACGGGGATTTTTTCCCAGTTGGTGGGTTTCTGGATAGTCCCTCATTTAGACTGTACATAATCCCTCTGCACTGCTTTTTGGAAACACCGGCCTCTCTGTGTAGGTGGTGTACTTCCACAGCAGATGTGGAAATTAGGATGCCTGAGGACACTTTTGAATTCCAGAGGTTGGGGAAGGTGACAGCTGTATTACTTCCCACATCACGCGAGTCTGTGGAACATAACTGTATTCCTACAGCTTTACTGGGGACATTGAACTCTTTCTTGCTGTCACCTCTTGGGGATCAGCCACCTCCAAAGGACAGGAGACACAGGCAAAGCACTGGCTAGCTTTTTGTATCCCATCTTCCTCAAGGACTGCAGTAGTAGCTGTGGTTTCCCCAAGGTGTACTCACAAGTGCCTGGAAGCAAGAGTGAAAAGCTTGCCTTTCCTTTCACTCCGCCTGCTCTCAGCCTATGTCATGCTGGCTGCCTTCGTTTCAAAATACGTAGCATCCCTCTGTGATCAACACTTGTTCTAGTCAAGGAACGCAGCGTTGTGGTAATAAAAAGGTGAATGAGAGAGGGACGAGTTCCTTGCCTTATTTTAGTGGCAGCCATTTAATTACCAGAGAGAACCACAGTTACAAGTTGAGCACATGTTGAAGTTGGGCTGCAGAATGACTGACAGAAGTCTCAAAAGGCACGTGAGGAAATTGTTCTTCTCTGTGACCCATAAACCTCCTCCATTAGGCCCTGGGACACAGTAGTTTTGTGTTGTAGGGTCAAAGATTAGGACAGGTTGCCACTAGCAAGAAATCCAGAGAACACAGCCATCTGCCTGCTTTTGGAAGAACTCCTTAAATAGGTGTTTGGGTTAAAGTACAAGTGTCTGTAGTTTAAAAAAGACAGCTGGGTGCTGTGATTTACCTTCTGGATAAACCCAAATTAAATTCCTGCTCTGGACTCATTTGAAAAATGCTGGCCTGAGGAAGGGGAAGAGGAAGGAGGTGGTCTGGGCAAAGAAGGATGCCTGATGAAGAGTAGTACCATTGCTGCAGCCCACTGAGACACCAGAACCCACTGACAGCAACGGTTGGGATGACCTTACACCAGCTCTGGTGCACATTTTTCGTTCTGAAATGGTGATAATTCTGTGGAAAATACCTATGGTGCAACATCTCCCTGTCTAGCTCTACTGATGCTGGTGTATGAGCAGGGGTGAATCGGCTCCCCTTATTGTGTTGTAACTCTCTTAAGCTAAAAGTCTGCTGTTTTGTTTTTTGTTTCTGATCTTAACCAGAGACCGGACCACCACAGTTGTGAACGTGGAAGGGGATGCCCTAGGAGCGGGCATCCTGAATTACCTGAATGAAAAAGAAAAGAAAGACAAAGAGCAGGAGCTAAAGGAAGTCAGCGTAGAAGCAGTTGCTAACAGCAAGTCTGAAGGGGAAACATCGCCTTTGGTAACCCACAAAAACCAAGTCTCCAGCACAACCAGTACAGCAGACCCTGAATCCAAGGAATCAGTATTGTGAACTAGAGGCCGTTCGTCAACACACGTCCGAGAGGTGGACCGGGGACTTGCTAACGCCCCTAGACGTTTGCAGTGCTGACAAGGGCTGGATGGCTCTTGAAAGATTGCAGTTCCGGTCTTTTTGAAATATGCGGGCCTGGGGAAGGGGAGGGAGGTGGGGTGGGCAGAGAAGGGGTGCTGAGAAAGAACACTGGCTTTATAATAGTATTTTGATAATTGATACCTGTACATGTATACGTGCTGCACGTGCACGCGCATATACATGTATGTGAAAATCATGCCATTGAGACTTCTGGTTTAACAAGACTTCTGCTAGTCAAGACTCATGGGTCAGAGATGGAGAAGTAAA